AGCCAACAATGCAAGAAGGGTCCAGTCAGCCTGAACTCCTCCCAAGGTTCACGGCCTAGGTGACTTCTTGATGCTGTGACAGGAGAAGGGAGTTTGCTGTTTTCTCCTGAGCTTCAGCGGCTCAGCCTTTGCTGTTCTGGTCAAAGACTGCTGGAGTCCGGGACGTTCCACGTGAGAAGAAACTGGCCTGACTCCTGCATCACAGCAAGGTCCTGGTGCTGCCCAGGCAAGCTCAGCACTTTCCCACGAGGAAGACGTTGTCCTGGATGATGATGAGATTGGAAGGGCTGGATGGATGCTTGGGGACAGACGTCCGTCTGTGTGTGTGTGTGTGTGTGTGTGTGTGTGTGTGTGTGTGTGTGTGTGTTCATGTTTCATGTGTGTATCCTCACATGTGTGGGGTGCACACTGTGGTGGGTGAGAGCACAACCTGCTGACTTAGTCTTCTCTTCCCACCTTGTTGGAGATGAGCTCTCCTTGCTGCTTCCTGCTTCGTGCATCAGGCTAGCCCAACTTCTTCAGGCTAGCTCATCTTCAGGCTAGCCCAACTTCAGGCTAGCTCAACTTCAGGCTAGCTCAACTTCAGGCTAGCTCAACTTCAGGCTAGCTCAACTTCAGGCTAGCCCAACTTCAGGCTAGCTCATCTTCAGGCTAGCTCATCTTCAGGCTAGCTCAACTTCAGGCTAGTTCAACTTTTCAGGGATCCGTCTGTCTGCCTCCCATCTCCACACAGAAGCACTTCAGTTGGACTCATGCCTCTGTGCTTGGCTCTATGCTGGTTCTGGGGACCCGAGCTCAAGTCCTTATCTGTGCTGCAAGCTCCCCACCCCACCTCCAGCCATCTCCCCAGCCCTATTTCTAATTTTGGATAATGACACACAGCATGGGTGTCTTGAAGTGGTTTCCTGACGTGGCATCTTTGCTGTGCTAGATGTCCATGTGGTGCCAAAGGTGTCAGTATACCAAGCGACATTAGTTCTTCCAACCTTGGCCAGAGAAAACTCTTGTTGCAGTGGGCAGCTGTTCATGTAGAAACCCATGCTTGGTCAGAGTGCGAAGAATGAGCAATTACATCTATACCACATTCCACCCCTCCCCAAGTTCAGAGGGGATGTGACGTGGAAGAGCCAGAGAGTGGGAAGGAATGCTATGAAACCGACGTGACAGGATGCTGCAGTCATGAGCTCATGGCAGCTGCAGTCACCAGCACGAGAGCAAGTCAACACCCCAGCCGGGGGCACCAATTAGAGTTTAAACCGAGTAGGGAGAGGGCAGGAAGGGGGAAGAGGGACATCTGGGGAGGTTGTTGGGGGAGGGGAAAGAGGACAGGCTACAGAAAGACATGATCAAGACATATTATATACATGTATGAAGTTGTCAAAGACTAAATAAACAATACTAAAAATGGCTGTTGAGGGATTTGAGGCTTTATGAGTAGTGATTGGCAAGTGTGTGCTCCAATGTCTCTTTTTAAAAAGTATTTATTTCACTTTTAATTATGCTTGTGTGTTTTGAGGGTGGGGTGGGCATGGGGATGCATGTGAGTGAAGTGCTCACAGAGGCTGGGAGAGCGGGTTGGATTCCCTGGAGCTGGAGTTACAGATGGTTATGAGCCACTTGACATAGGAACTGGGAACCCAACTCAGGTCCCCTGCAAGAGCAGCAAGTGCCCTTAACCCACGAGCATCTCTCCAGCCCCTTCATCATGTCTTTTAAGGGCGCATAGAAACATAGAGTATAAAAGTAATTCACATTTGTATGATTTGGGGTACATTTGGCTGACGTCTATGCTAAGGACAACTAAAGCACACCCCTATGTAGCCACTGTCCAAGCTCCTCCCATGCATCGTCTCAGCTGATTCAACAGTCCCACAGGCAAATGCAGCATCAGCTCCATCCCAGTTATCAGATGAGGAGACTCAGGTATAGACTAGTTTGTTCAAGGTCAAAAGGTTAAAAGTTCCAGTTGCACATAATTAGTATAAAATAGGGCTGTGATTTGAGGCAGACAATGTGGTTCTAGATTCCAAGCTTTTAACCATTTTCCCAGACCTCTGTTGACACCGAACACCCACCCACATTGAAGAAATCTACACATGAAGTTATCCATCCTCAGGTTTAGGAGAGATCATTGTTCTTAACAGTTCTTGACAATAATTTGTACACAGATTTTTGAATAGTCAGTGATATTAAAACTCTTCTGCATTCTCTAGCCTTGAGTTTTTAAAAGGACTTATTTTTAAAATTTATATGTGTGGGTGCAGTGCCAACAGAGGCCAGAAGAGGGCATCAGATCCTCCGGAGCTGGATTTCCAGGCCCTTGTGAGCCTCCTGAGATGGGTTCTGGGAACTGAGCTCTGGCCCTCTGTAAGAGCGGTAAACACGCTGAACGCTTGCCCCACCTTTTCCTACCCCTTGATTTTCTTACATCTACAATCTAAGTACCATTTTTCCCTTCCTCATTAAGAATGTTGAGTGAGAAGGAGTATGTGAAAGCCTTTACACATACTAAACCCTCAAGTTCATTAGGTTAAGTAGAGAAGTGGAAGCCATTTGTCCACAGGTGTGCAAAGTCCTGGGGACAGCCTCGGCCGAAGGAGTGATCCCAACTCAGGCTCCATTTCCCTGCTTTGCAACCACATCCGATGGCCTCTTGCTATTAGCTTGGCTTCCAAGTCTGATTTAAGCATGAGAGGTTCAAACCATCCAACTCCTCAGATTCAAGTCCATCCAGAAAGCAAAGATGCCAGCAAGGCTCAGTTTGATTGGCTTGGGTTGCCATGTGTCCTTTGAACCAGTTCTCACAGTGGGGGATGATTGTCTGACCTGACATAAACAGAGCTGGGTGAGTAAGGGCACATCCCTTCGATGAAAAGCCACAATGTTTAACCTTCTGGAGACAAAGCAGGTGGACTTCAGAAACACCTGTTGACTTCCCTGCCAGGGTATGTGAGCTGGCCAGTAGGCTCCGGGGCTGGCCTGTTCTGCTGTGCAACCTTATGGAATTTCGTTCTGAAACGCGCTTCTCAGAACTTCACCAACAACGGCAAATGAAAGCTTGTTTTAACAAGGCCCTAGATGTCATTATTAGAATGGCAAGAGCGCACACTTGACCTTGATCCTTGCTCAGCACTTCCTTCCACACCCACTCATTGTATTCCCCCAGTGATTTTTAAAAGCTTTTCACATCCTTTCTTCTGATATGAAGACCAGAGATGGAATGTGGATAATGCATATACCATATCTCTTCAGGCAATCTTCCAGCAAACCATCACCAAGGCCACAGGACAAAGAACATGATCCAGGGCAGAATTTGGAAGGGATGTTTATTTTAAGGATAAGTCAATCCAGGAGACCAAACCCCGTTTATCTCCTATTATCCTTACTGTAAATAGTCAAGCTTATTTGTTATTATTTATTTAATTGTTTATCTATCCACTGAACATTTATCTAGTACCTTCAATTTCAAGTGGCTTAGCAGGCCCCTTTTGGGGGAAGTTGATGCATTGTGTCCTTTTACAGAAAGTTGGTGTCTGAGCTGAGCCCTTAGCCAGTCCAGACTTCCCACCAATCGTCCGTGTTTTGTGGACTCTGCCTCGCTGGCAAGCAGAGGCTGCGGTCCCTTTGGAAGTGGGAAGGAGCTGCTTAGCAATCCTCCTTCGCATGTGTCTACTACCCCTGTATGAGATGTTCAAAGACAGGAGCCACACAGAGGCGTGGAAGTCAGACAGTTGGCCTAAAGTTCACCCCGTCACTGGCACTTCAAGTGTTAACTAGCTTTGCAAAACCGAGTTTGTTGCTGGAGGGTTGTTTTCTCATTGACTAAAATGAAGATGACGGTTGTTTAACAGAAGTGCTTTATAGATTGTCAAGGAACTTGGTGAAATCCAATGGGATGGATGTGGGAGGCACTTAGCATCATGCTTGGCCCAGAGCAGAAACTTTATACAAGTTTCCTTTACCTTCCCTGCTTCCTTCTTCCTCCCAGGCTTCTTTCTCTCTTGTCCTGATCCCACAGCTCATGTCATATGTGGCAATTGTCCCCATTTCACGTGGAGTCTCTTGGTGAGGGGAGCGCCTATCCGAGAGATGAGGGCCTCTGTGGGGAGGTCCATGGCTCCTGTGTTGTATGTGTGCTCATGTACCCAAGGACATGTGTGCATTGCTCATCAGGAGAATAGCATGAACTGGGATGCCCACCATGACCTTCCAGACTACACAGTAGGATCATCTGATGCTGACTGAAAAAGCCTGAGGCTAAGGCAGAGGATATGCTGTTTTCTGGTCCTTCTACGACAATCTCATTGCAAGCACGTCTTAAATTTGAGACAGACAGCTGGTATCTAAGGAAGTCAGAAATGTTGCTAACCAGTTACAAGGACATCACCAGTCTCAGCCCAGAAAGGGTTAAATATGCTGGTTAAATAGCTTCAGGAATAGGGCACTCTGTCACTCCAGATCTAGATCTCCCTTGTAGGGTGTCTCAGCTCTGCACTCCCTTGGGAGGCCCATCTTGCTGTACTCAGCAATCACTAGCAAGTGCAGGAGTTTTTCTCTCAACTACGTCACCATCTTAAAGAGATCACCCCTCTAAGCTGGGCTGAGGATTTCTAAACTGGACCTCACTAGTTTGATCTGTGTCCTCACCCATTCCTGAACCCTTCACAGTGGGCAGTGGGATGCAACTATTCCAGGCCTGCCTCCTGAAGAAGGTTGGCCCCAGCTTGGAGGAAGTAGAGCCAAGGGTGAGCTTAGGCACTGCCCTCAGATGAAGAAACAGAAGTTACAGAAACAACAACAAGGTTTTCCAGGCTCGGTATTTTTAACCACTTGGTTCATATAACATCAAAGCTTCACAAAGAAAAGTCTCTGGGTATTCTTAGATCTGGAAAACATACACGAGAATCTTTCCAGTTCAGTAGAGGTCAAATTACCTGCAGTGTATTTGCCCTATCAATGACACAGTAATAAGATGAGTTCTTTCTGTGTTTCTAACCCAGGAAATGGAGAGCACAGAAGCAGCCCTGGGAAGCCACGCCATGGATACTCTCCACGTTCGCTTCAGACACTAATCTAGGTATTCTCACATAGGCATTTAACAGTGGTTAATATTTACAGTCGGTCAAACTGAATTAAAACAAAAATGCCTTTTTGTATGGGTGGGCCTCATCCAATGGGCTCAAGAGGCTTAAGGACAAAATTTAAGATTTCCCTGAGAAAGGACGAGACCCACCCATGGGTAGCAAGCCCAAGCTCCTGGCTGAGTTTCTGGTCTGCTCATCTGTCATACAGGTTTTAGACTTGCCTGGGCAGACCATAACGTAGGACCCAGTTTCTCCACCCCTCTGTCTCAAGCACGTATGCAAACATAGGTATATTCATGCCTCTTCCTGCTCCTGTTTCTCTGTAGAATCCTGACTGATGCTCCCATGTCGAAGTGTGAGCTGTAGTTAGAAACTGGCTGTGACCTCAGTACTGGGAAGGCTTTCCCGAAAGTTCCAGCTGAAACACTTTCTCCTCCAGTAAACAAATCATTTACTATTTTGTGCCTATAGAGTAATTGTGTAATAGAGTAATAGTGTAACCAATGGTACCACTTTTTATGAGTTCCTGAAGAACAAACCGGCATTGTCACACTGGAAATACTACTTGATGATACTGGAAACATAGCACCCCCCCCTCCTCCGCCCTGAAATCAAACTTATTCATAGGCATTGCATCATCAGGTTGATGGCAAGTACAGCCAGCCCCACGTGAAGACTGGCTGAAACTGGTTCAGCATGGGCATGGCGGAGGAGAAAAGGAATTTTGCAGGGTATGGTGACTGTTCAGCCCATTGAGATGTGAGCTTCATGTGCCCAAAGCAGAGTCACCTGAGCTGATTAAAAAGCAGATCCAGTCCCACAAGCCAGAATTCAAGCTTGAGACCAAAGAGTACCATGTTACTGAGCTCCTTGGGTGTGCCTTGGCAAGTTCAAGTCTGAGAATCATCTCAACAAGTGAAGACTTTTTTTTTGAACCTGGTCTGTATTTTAACCAGTTTGCTCTAGGGATATACAAATTGAAAGTTTTAGAAATAGAGGAACCATTTTTCTTTCTGAGTAAATTAGATAAGAAAAAACTAAACACAAACTTTTTTATTTTTATTTTATTTGTTTTACAAAAGTAGACTTTTAAATGCTTCCCATTATTTTCAAGAATAGTTAAAAGAAAATGAAGCTATCCATGAGTCACTGATGAGTGAGTCTCTCACCTTCCTGCCCTCCATTGGCGGAGTGAGTCTGTCAATCACCTTCCTGCCCTCCATTGGTGGAGTGAGTCTGTCAATCACCTTCCTGGTCCAGCAGGCTGCTCTGCCTCTTGTCCTCTGAGATCTACCTGCTGTCTCCTAGGGGGTCACATGGACTCCTTAACCTAACAAATACACATGACATTTGCCATCCAAGGACAAATCTGCTCCAGTAGCCCTGGCAGAAAATTGCCCAGAAGCTTGTGGGTGGCCTCTGATACCAGGTAATTATCTGACAGGAAGATGTCACATTGGAAAAATCGTTTGGTCCACAGGCCAAACAAACACAGCTGTGGGGAAGTCAACATTGATTGAACTGGTAGCGTTAATGTCCATACCAGGCATCACTGTTTTTCTTCTTCAAAGTTTAATAAAGGAGCTTTCTGCTTAAAAGAAATTCTTCAGGATGACAAGAATTTACTTTTCTAGAAAAAGGGTATTAGTTTGTATTTAAACATGTGTCTTCTACAGAAACTAAACTATGATCATAGCACATGCTAGTTGTGTTCTTAGGAGTCCTTATGAAAGTAAGACTCAGGATCTGCAAGGGCTAGTGATGGGCTCCCCTACAAGTTAATAGCCACTGTCTTCTGCCTGGCCCACAGTCAGGACAAATCTCTGTCATCACCAGTCCCACAGCCGATCAGACCCAACCAAGTAAACACAGAGATTATATTGCTTACAAACTGTATGGCCGTGGCAGGCTTCTTGCTAATTGTTCTTACATCTTAAATTAATCCATTTCTATAAATCTATACCTTGCCACATGGCTCGTGGCTTACCAGCGTCTTCACATGCTGCTTGTCATGGTGGCGGCTGGCAGTGACTCCTTCTGCTTTCCTGTTCTTTCTTTTCTCCTCTCTGTTAGTCCCGCCTATACTTCCTGCCTAGCCACTGGGCAATCAGTGTTTTATTTATTGACCAATCAGAGCAATTTGACATACAGACCATCCCACAGCAGTCTTCTGACTGATCTACAAGGGCTAGTGATGGGCTCTCCTATATCCATCATTGTCTGCCTGTATTCAGCCCTGGGGTTCCCAGTCCCAGTCCTCAGATTGGTCTACACTGAGGATCACAAATCAGGTTGGGAAAGAGAATGAAGGGGCATGGGAACTCTTTGCCACTAAGGACAAAACTCTAGGCAGCAAGAAGCCATTAGCAATTCCTTTCTACCTACAGAGACTAATATGACAGTGGGTGCCATCATGGACCCCACTCTGTAGCCTTCTTCCACAGGGGTAAAGCTGAGTGTGCAAATTAGTGAAAATGAAACACAAGTCCATGCTTTCAATGGCAGGCCCAACCAAACATCCTGAGAGCTATGCTGCAAACATCCACCTGTGCAGAAATGTCAGATTGTAGATTAAGGACTCTATGTATAAAAACTTGATCACCAACTGAGGTGTATCTATACTTATGGGCATAGATAGCAATATCCAGCATGCAGTAGATTAAAAACTTTCAAAAACCTGTGTTTTGATTCTGTTTTCTAAAACCACAGCAGCCAGACATATCAGCATCTGCATATGAAGAAGGGCTGGGAGCACTCGTGCATGAGAAACTAAGGATTACAGGACTTACCTTCTCTATGTGCGTTTCCTGTCAAGAAAACAATTGCTGTCTTCTGAAAAATTATTTTAATATATTCTGTGTGTACAGCTGTTTTGCATGCATGTACACCACATGTGTACATCACATGTGAGGACCACATGCATGCAGTGCCTGAGGAAGACAGAAGAGGGAGTCAGATCTGGGTCCCCTGGAGGAGCAGTGAGTGGTCTTAACCACCTAGCCGTCTCTCCAGACAGCAACTGCTTTTATAATCAGAGCAAACTTTAGATGTTTATAAGATGAAACTCTAAAATCTTTTGGGAGCATAATTCTGCATGAGCAAGAAGGGGTGAGGAGTTTTATGATACAGGTCTGGTGAAGTTCAGATAGAGGATTCCATCTGGCCTTGGTTCTTAGGGAAACAGGATGAGGCAGGGTTGGGAGCAGGTGATGGACCGTCTGCACAGTGAGAAGAATGCAGGGCTGGGTGGAAGAAGCCATCGCACCCGGACTGTGTCCTCACCCGCTGGGAGGTACTGAAGCCACGAAGCCCATTGAACCCTGGGCCCTTGCACGGTCCTTACCTGGGGGCCACCCTAGAGAGTGTGACTCAAGGTTGGGAAAGCGGGGGAGACACTTGAGCATGAGCATTTGGGGGCTCTCTGCTCCTCAGGCCTGTCCAAGCTGCAGTGAGAGACTTTTCTAGAATGGAGATCTGAGCTGAGCTGAGCATGTCTGCCTCTCTCAGCCACAATGCCTTCCTACCTCTCTGTAGATGGGCAGGCTCAGACCTTTGCTTACAACAAGATGGCAGGAGGAGAGGACCTAGATTCTCAACTTTCTCTAAGCCACTGATTTTTGGTTTTGTGTGTGTGTGTGTGTGTGTGTGTGTGTGTGTAACCATCACTTCATCTCCCCTTCAGCTTTATGATAAAAATATTTGTTAAGAATTGGCTTCTTTATCTGTGGAAGTTACAGGAAATGCAGTAATTTATATTATCCAGAATATGTATGTATTGCTACAGATATCTATCATCTATATTCTATCTACTTACCACTCATCTATCTACATTTGACCATCTAACATTTACCTATCTACTGTCTATCATCTATCTGTCTGTCTATCTATCATCTATCTATCTATCTATCTATCTATCTATCTATCTATCTATCTATCTATCTATCTACCTACCTATCATCTATCACCTGTCTGTCTAGCTATCTACCATCTATCATCTATCTATTTACTTATGATTCATTTATATGTCTATATATTGAACATCCATTATTTGCCTTTCAGCTATCTATCATCTACCTAGCTACCAATCACGTATCTATCAAGAATTTATCTACAAATGTCTTTTGAGAAGTTATTGAAAAAATATGAATGGCAAATACTTAAACTCATAAACAGCTTTACAATGATTCACATTTCCTCCTCCAAATAGCCCCTTAGGGAAATTAGTATTAATATCTCACTTTATAAACAAGGAAATGGTGGTACCAAATGATTAAGTTACCGTCTACAAACTCCTTGGTCAGTGACAGAGGTAGAAGCCTGGCTTTGGAGTCCATATTTATAAACATGGTTAAGTCTCTCTTTAACTAAGTTCACCAAAAGTCAGGGCTGACAGCAGAAGCAGAGGAAAGGAAGTGCTAGATGTGAGCCATCATGAAGATGTCTTCCTAGGTGTGAGCCCCATCATGAAGATGTCTTCCTAGGCGTGAGCCATCATGAAGATGTCTTTCTAGGTGTGAGCCATCATGAAGATGTCTTCTTAGATGTGAGCCATCATGAAAATGTCTTCCTAGGTGTGAGCCATTTGTGAAGATGGCTAGATGTGAACCATTCATGAAGACAGGGTCTTTGCTAGGTGAGCCATTTGTGATATACTCAGGCATGGCCTGGGAGGCCTGGGTTGTAGATAGGGCTGTGATTAACCCTATAGGCTCCGCCCCTGTCACTTTTCTCACTGGATGGAAGCTAACCATCCAGGGCTGGAGAGATGCTTAGAGATGAAGAGCACTTACTGCTCTTGCAGAGGACCTGGGCTTGGTTCCCAGCACCCACACAGCGGTTCTCAACCGCCTGCAACTCCATTTCCAGGAGCTATGATGCTGATGCCCTCTTCTTGCCTCTGCAGGCATTGTGTGCACTTAGCGCTCAGACACACAAGCACACAAAGCAAAAACAAACAAAATGTTAATATATAAAAAATAAAGCAATCATATGTTTTCGTTCCACCTTGAAATGTAAGGTGCCTTTCACTCTGGAGTTTGGCACAAAATCTCTTTCTGCCTACACATTTTGTCTTGAAGGTCCCCTGACTTATCACAAAGCCTGTGGGATCCTGTGTCGTATCCAGGCCCTTCCCATTTCCCTTGGCTGTTGTTTTCTGGGTAAAAAGTCAGTTGATGAACCATCTTTTCCAACAATCTTTGGCTCTGTCTCTAAGTAGTGCTGGAGCAAAATTCTGACTCCAATCAGTTGTTGGGTCTTGCAATTACAATTACCAACACCCACACCCTACACAGTGCCCCTTGTTACTCCTGTATGGAAAATGTCCACTAATAGGGAAACTTATCTAGACATTCATTAAAAATTTGACATGCAGCCGGGCGGTGGTGGCGCACGCCTTTAATCCCAGCACTAGGGAGGCAGAGGCAGGTGGATCTCTGT